TAATGACCATAACGAGTTCTGAACGCGGTTTGGGGAACGTCTTCCTCCAAAATTCGTAACTGGTGATACCCGGATCTTAAGTCTATTTTCGAGAAGTAGTTCGCCCCTTGAAGTTGGTCGATCAGATCGTCAATGCGAGGCAGAGGGTGTCGATTGTTGATGGTAAGTTTATTCAGCTCGCGGTAGTCTATACACATGCGGAATGATCCATCCCTCTTCTTTACGAACAAAACCGGTGCTCCCCAAGGTGAGAAGCTTGGTCTTATGAAACCTTTGCTTAGATGTTCATTAAGTTGGCTGGATAATTCCTGCGTCTCGGAAGGTGCAAGACGATAGGGGGATTTGGCTACAGGGGTAGCTCCAGGGATTAGGTCGATTCGGAATTCGACTTGTCGTTCGGGAAGCACCCCTGGAAGATCATCGGGAAATACATCGGAAAAGTTGCAGACCTCAGGAATGCTTGCGATTTCTTTCACTTCTTGCTTTTTGTCTACCACATGAGCTAGGAATGCACAATACTCCTTGCGAAGGTATTCATGTGTCTTGATGCAAGAAATGATCTGAAGGTTCGTTCCGGGTTTGTCGCCATAGATAATAAGAGTTTCGTTAGTTGGCAAGTTCAAACGAATAGCTCTTTCATAACATAGGATGTCGGCATGGTTGGAGCACAACCAATCCATACCTATTATGATGTCAAAACCTTTGATAGAGACCGTCATAAGGTCTATTGGGAAAGACAAGTCATTTAACGTAAGGGTACATCCTATGTATATATCATTGGTGGATTCGGATTTCCCGTTAGCCATTTCTACTGTGAAGGTTTTATTTAGTGGTTGGGAGTTCTGGTTTAGTAGATGTTTAAAGTTATGGCTCACGAAGCTCCTCTCGGCACCACAATCAAAAATAATGCATGCATAAGTATTGTTGAGAAGGAACGTACCCGTGACCACAACAGGGTCTGCCACCGCTTCTTCGTGACCTAGTGCTAGAATTCTCCCAACCCCACTGGCATTTCCAGCTTTTGGACAATCTTTCTTGAAATGCCCCACATCACCGCATTGGTAGCATGCTCGACTTACTCCAGCGGCAGGTACTTGGTTAAGGGGTTGAGGTGGTGTTCGACAGAATCAGGCAGTATGCCCTTTCCTATTGCGGTTACGACACTGCATTTCAGGGCAATTTCTGGTGTGGTGAAAATTGCACTTGTTGCATTTAGGGAGACTACCGGCATAGGGCTTAGTTGGTGTGGGGTAGTTATGGGCAACAACAGGTACAATAGTAGGTATGGCAGTAGGCACAGTAGTAGCATGGACTGCCACTATTTGTTGCTTCTTTGAAGGTTCCAGAGGAGATTTTGCCTTCCTTTTGTTCCAACCCTTATTGTTGTTGTTGTTGTTGTTGTTGTTCTTCCTAGGTTGTTCTGGGGAAGTAACCACAGTGTTTTGACGGTTTCCGTGGTCAATAAGTGACTGTGCTAGTTCCTTGGCACTGTCAAAGGTTACAAGTTTAGATGCAATGACACTTGCTTGTATCTGGGGCGACAATCGCCAAATATACCTTTCAATCTTTTTGCTCTCTAGAGCAACCATTTCCGGACACAGAATCGCCAAGTCACAGAATCGATTCGTGTAAGTCGTTATGTCGGCACCGGCCATAGTAATATCCCAGAGTTCTTGTTCTAGTTTCTGAATTTCCCCTCGTGGGCAGTATTCACGGATCAGCATGATTTTTAGGTTCTCCCAGCTTATAGTATTAGCGACTACCAAAGTTAGTGACTTAACATGGCCATTCCACCATGATAGGGCTCTATCTAAGAAAGTAAAGGCAACAAATTTAACTTTGCTACCCTCTGGACAGGAGCAGATTTCAAAGACTGCTTCTATCTTCTCAATCCACTGCCTTAAAACCATTACTCCTCCAGTTCCATTAAAGGTCCTGGGTTTGGCATTCGAGAATTCTTTATAAGTGCACTCCCTCGAGTGCTCATGACCCTCGACAAGGTTAGAAGGACGTGGATCAGCTCCCGACCCACTAGTACCGGCAGCATTGATATTAGATAAGGCAGCCGCTACAACTGCCGTGACTACCGCTTGGAACATGGCAGCATCGAATTGAGGGGGTGGTGGTGGAGGTGGCGTCGGTGCTTCCGGTTCATTGTTACGCCTTAGATTCCTACAAGGAGGCATCTCTTTTTTTCTATAAAAGTCAATAAAAAGATAGTGAGATATCAAGAATGAATATGAATTTGATATCTCTGAACTTAAACACTTAATTCAACAAGAATCTTGTAGCGTGCCACCAGAGCATATACTTTTGTACAATCAAGACCCTCTATCTGTCTGAACCCATGGACAACCAATCTCGCCTTATTTCAGACAATTACACCCTTCTTCACTTGGAGTCCAACCCAAAGTTCAATGCAAAAGCTGATGACTGCTATTTCGTCGGATAAGCTGCTCGTACTTCTTACAGGGTATACAATAAGAAAACAAAGCAAATCGTGGAATCTTTTAATGTACACTGGCTAGAACAGAATGAAACGGACGCTAGGGTGGGTCCTGATTGGCTGTTTGACTACACATCTCTATTCAAATCTTTTAGTATGTTGTATGGGCTAATGAGTCACTTAGGGTTGAACTTAAGGAAGATGAGATACTTGAGAAACTTGAGAAATAGTGAAACTTAAGAAAGTAGTGTTGTTGGTGGTTTGGATTCCAAGATTTGCAGAGGAGTATGAATTAACATGATTAATCTCTCTTTGCTTATCATCGAGATCGCAATCCTTAATGATCACCATTGTTTCAGCTAAACTCAAACGATTCAAATCTTTGGTCTTCTTTATCACTGAAACATTCATATCCCAAGATTTCGGTAGAGAATTCAGCAGCTTCTTATTGATCTCAGATTTTGTAACCATAACACCAGCAGATTTCATCTCGGTGGTAAGTGTGATAAACCTTTGCAATTGATTCTCAAGAGATTCCCCCACGACATAGTTAAACATGTTGAACTTCTATCGCAACTTGTCTTGGCGACTTTGTTTCATGTCTTCATTTCCTTCGTATACTTTGATCAATGCTTCCCATAATGCCTTTGCTGAAGTGTACTCATGGAAACCTTGAGCAATTTCTAGAGATAATGCCATAGCGAGTGTGGCAAGAGCCTTTTCATGTTCCTCAACTCTATCGAAATCATCATCGGTGTAGTTCTCAACTTGCTTATCAATTATAGTGCCATCCTCCAATGTTGTTGTGATACGGATTGGACCTCTCAGAATACATCTCCAAATTTTAAAATCCTTCATCTTGATGTATTTTTCAATCCGATATTTCCATTCAGGAAATCCTTCTGCTGATAACAATCTAGGAATGCGTGAGGTGGTACCCATGATGGCATCCAATTTATGATGAGCAAACATGGTTTGAGATTCCATTTTGCCTTTTTTTAGAGGGAACAAATGAACGAGAAGATTAAAATTAAAAGTTTGTCAACCAAGAAAAATGCAGCCGCACACACAAACCGCAAACGCCAATCGCACACCTAACAGCACACATAACCGCACACTCAACCGCACACGTGACCGTACACCTTCAACCGCACACATGACCGTACACCTTCAACCACACACGTGACCGTACACCTTTCAAGTCTAACCACACACCTAAAAAATTCGATATATTTTGAACTAATTTTGATTTCAAACTGGTGAAAACGATGATCAATAGCGATTTCTCAACCAATTAACTGTGAATAAGCCTAAAAAACGATGAATATCTTCAATCGCACACTCTATGAACCTTCGAATTGACAATGAATGAAGCTCTGATACCAATTGTAAGTCCCAATCTTATAGATCCAAATCAGTGATCAATTTAAATGCAAGTTCAAATAGAGTATAAAATGAGTAGAAGAAGAATTAATTCAAGCATGAACACATCAATAACACATAAATGTCAAGTACACCTTGGGGAACACATAGTTATGTCACCCTTACATAGACACAATCACTTACTATTTATACCTACACACATCAGCACACAAATGTACAGCTGCACACACGTGTACGACTGTACACGGGGTGTACGGCCGTACATACGTGTACGGCCGTACACATCCACAATCAACATACAACCACCAAAACCCTCTAAAGCCCTACCAAGATCTATAGATCACAATTCCTAGCCCAAACCACTAAATCATAGCCCATCACACCCTATTTTTGTGAGTTATTTGAAGACAATCAACCCTGATATCGAAACTTGTGTGTTGTTCACTACAACTGCTAGTCCATCTAAGAAGAAGAAAAGATCTAAGAAAGTTACGAAGGGAAGTCTGTCAAAAAACAAACTGAGTAAGTTGAGAAGGTTGTTAAGGCTGCTACGAAGAACAAGGTGCACACTGAGCCACCTCCGATTGTTTCTTCTAAACCAATTTTGATGTCTGACATGGAAGTAACACCTTCGGAATCTGGTGTGCTGAAAATTGGAAAAGATGGCTCTAAACCTCTCCATTCCCCTGAGAAATCCAGATGTTTTTCACCAACTTTTAAAGTCAAGCCTCAAATAAGTCGAAAGCGGGTTTTGTTTCGTGATGCCCGAGCATCTGTTTCTCCAGCTTTGAAGAAATGGAGGGCATAAGACATGGATAAACGTATTTCCAAGAAACAAAAGAAAGAAGCTAAGGAAGTTAGTGATTCAAGATGATTCCATGGATAACGAAGTTGTTCCTGAGTCTCCAATTCACGATGATCAATTGGTCCATTCTTCACCTGTGAGGGATTCTCCACTCAAGTAGAATCTTGAGGCGATTGGAAATCCTGATGGCTTTGTGGAAACTTCTAAAGTAGACACACCCATCACTCAAGGTGACCAAAAAACAACATCTACTCCTATAAAGACATCAGTCATACCACCCGGAGTGTCGACTAACGAATCATTTCATGACGAGTTTCACACTTCACACATCACTATGAACATATCTCATATGGACGTAATGTCAATATGGGTGAAGGAGTATCGGATACAGCTGCCCAAGGTAATCCTTCTCTTGTTATCTCATCTACCTTCAAAACACCAATTGTTGATACCACAGTTTTGTTACCTCCATTTATAATTCCTACTTCAACCAAATCACCTCCATCAACTCATTCACCCACTTTTTATAATATCATGCAATAACCCATTACTTCTTTATTTCCATCTCAATCAACAGACAGTCCCAAAACTGTTAATGATGATGAAACAGATGATGGTGGGTTTGTGGGTTCTTTTGCTGATATAGAGTTTGATCTTACTAAGGAGAATATTCCAGATCACATGCTGATGTCTGACAAGCAATTTAAGATTCTTAATTGGAAACTTAATGCATTTCTCCAATTACAAGCTGATGGTGGTCGTAAACATTCAGTTCGGGTATTGAGGTGGATGTCATGTTGAAAGCTCATGAACATCATCTTCAGGAGTCACTTGATCGAATTCAAAAGAATAATGAGTTAAGGGTTAAAGCTCAATCTGAGAACCTTAATGGAGATCTTCGAGCTTTGAAGGATGTCGTGAAGGAAAGATATGTTTTGTATGTTCAAGATGTCAAGACCATTCGTGAGGATGTCAATCTGAAACTTCAAGAGTTAAGACAAGACATGGCGAAAGAAATCTCAATTCTAACTCACAATTATTCTACCATTCATATGAAGGTAGATATAATTGCTGATGTGGTCACAAAAGCTATTGAATGGTATAATTCTTTCACTCCCAAGTTTGAAAAGAAGGTTGAAGTCGATGCTACCAATTTTGGTGATATGGCAAAGTAATTGGGTGAGTTAAAGGATCTCTTGTCAAAGTCTGGATCTTCGAAATCTTCAATTTTTACTCCTAATTTCTTCACTCAAAAGATTACCTTGCTTGATTCAATAATTCATAAAGAATTAGCTCCACTTGCAAAACATCTTCCATTGATGCCAATGGGTGCCCGACCTATTGTTACAGGGGTGCGAGGCGGAGAAAGAAGGTATGTTGGCGTTAGTAAAGGCGAAGGAGGTTCTGGCAAAAAATGTGAAGATGCGAAGGTAATGGGAAAGGTTTTAACTAAAATTCATGTGTTAATGCCAAGTAAAGTTTATCAAATAACCTCTACAACTACAACAACGATGCCTTTAAAGAAGGGAATTGTAATTGGTGGTACAAGTTCATGTTCGAAACCCAAGCCTATGGAAGCAGATAAAGGGAAAGGAAAAGAAGTAACTATTAAGCTTTCGAAAGAGGAAAAGAAAGCTGTAATGGAATAAGAGATTGAGAAACAAAGACATATTCAGAGTATACTTCGATAGAGAGACAACAATCCACCTGGTCTCAAAAAAGGTGATCCAAGAAAACTTTATCATTACAAATATATTGAAGCCTTTGTTGTTTCTGGAGAAATGCATGAGTTTGAGAAGATTCCCAAGAAAAGATTCGATACTGTGAAATCCAACATGAATGAATTAGACTACTTAGTAAACAGAATGATGTTCCTAGATGAGAGGTTCAAGCTTGTTGATAAGTACAAGGATAAGCTTGAGTATAGACATATGAAGTTTCGTTTTCATGCTATACTTGGGAAGAAGGAAGAGGAGATTGGTCAATGGTCAACACAGTTCGGGTTCTGGGAATAACCAAAGACGTTTTGTTTGAGGGTATGCTTTAGAATTAACAATATCATGTAGTCCGAGCAAACAATGTCACATTTGACTTCTCGGTTCCAGACTTTCCACTAATGAATCTTCATGATTTGTTAGTTGTGGCGTTGATAATGAAGTGTGTTGATTTAGAGAAATTGCAAGTGACAAGCAAGGAAGAGTATTTATCGAGGGATACTATGGTACATTAGCCTTAACATATGTTGAGTTGGCAATGTAATTGGATAAAGAAGTCATTGTTCCACAAACTATACTTTTGAGTAAGGCTAGTTTGAAAGATTTCGAAGATGGTGATATTACCTTGAAACCTTTAGGGATTGTTTTTTTTGCGAAAAACAAGAAGGGCAATAATTCTAAATTCATATTTCAAATGTGTGATGTTGAAAGGTATACAACACCTCATTACACAAATCTCATGGTATGTATGAATAATTGTGCCAAGAATAATGACAAAGAGAAAGCTGAGATTCGGAAGATCATTAACTGGTATGCTGTGATTTGAAGGGTGATTCACCAAACTACTAAGGTGTTAACAACTTAGACTCGACATCTCTCACAAAGGGGGAGAATGTAGAGTTTAGAATGTTATTGTGAGGTGTCAAATGTATCTTAGTTGTCTGCTATATCGAAGTTAGATTATAACGTTATTACAAGGGCACTTTATATTTCGAGGCTTAGTGTAAGTAGTCCCTTGTATTTTTTTTTGCTTTTAGTATCCCTATATATGGGATAGATACACTTAGAGGTTAAGACTTAAATTCATAGTTGTAATCATTTTCTTTGATCCTCTTGTATTCTTTGATAAGCAATACAACGAGCCAACCAAACTTTCTTTAGATCTTGTGTCTAAATTTGTTCATACTCTGATTTCGTGTCTATACTCAATTCAATCGTTACTACACTAACTCTTATTCAAGTTAGAAATAATATTTGTAATTTATTTTTATCGTTTTATTGGCATTCTATGTAGTGAATCTGAGATTCAAGCAAAATTGAGGAATCAAGTATACTAATTCTAATTTTCAACTTTGACTTAAGTTTCTATGAGACTTTGGCCTAATTTCTACTTCTGGGTAAAGTGAATGATGTGTCTACATGATTCATGCGAAGATGTTCAATTCAAGGAATAACATGAATATCGATAGTCATTATAGTGAAGTAGTTGTAGAATTCACATACCAATCTGAAATGTAAGTACAGTATTCTTCGATTCTACTTGCTTCCAAGTTTCTAGTAGGGTATAACCTAGCTTCTAGTTAGCAAGTTTATTCAAATTTAGAACTGTCTCGAATTTTGATGGTTGTCACAGTTTCCCCCCCCCCCCCCCCCTGTTGAAAGAATTTCATCCCAAAATTCAATTTGTGTCGTATTCTATTAGAACTTAGCTAAATACAATTATATAGTTGGAGAGTTGGTGACTTAAAGAACCTTGGATTAACTCCTCAAGGGAGAGTTATAATCAAGTTATTGTTTTCCCTAATTCGACTTCTGCCGTCTAGATTGTGGGGAATTAGAATCACGGAAATTATGATCTAACTATGGCAACGTAGTTGAAAAGGATTATCTAGTTAGATATTATCTAACTTAAAAGAGCGTTTAGAAACGATAATTAATCTCACTATTATTAAAACGTGTAATAATTCCAAAAGAATGAAGATACATGAGTGATGATCAAGTGAAGTAGTAAAATAATATAAAGATTAATTAAGGTTAAATGTTTAATTCGCCATTAAGGGAATTTGTATAGAAATATTGGTATTACACTTTTTGAAAAATTGTTCAACTATTTAAGTAAGGACAAATTCAACATTACTAGGAGTCCGAATATTTATGAAAACAAGTTTGAGAGTTTAGGAACTCACTGAAAATTGCAAATTAGAATGCTATTTTAAGAAAAGGTGTAAAAAGGTCGATCTTTAAAAATAGTGCATTCTTAATTCAATGATTCTACCAAAAGTAATCGTTTGTAGGATCGATAAGTGGAATATTTAAATTTTTTTATGTTTTTAAGAAGAAGAAACATAAGAAAATATATCATTCACATATAATTTCCGGTCTTAGAAAAATGATATGCACAAGGGTATTCATCTTGTGTATTAATTGTTAGGGAAATACAATGAAAATTGCAATTTAAATCAAGTTTCCGAATTTAGAACAAAATAGCAAATGTAAATAAGGATTACTTGTTTATAGTAGATTTCAAAATAAAAACAAAATGTATATGATAAAAGGCATAATTGAATATATCAAAGCTAACTAAATCAAAATTATGCCTCATGACTATACACGTATTAACCTCTCAGGTTGATAAGGTAGACTTTTAGTCTATATGTGTACGAACATGGTACCAAGAGAGGCAAAATAGACAAAAACAATTTTAGACCATGCATTATGTTATTATTACAAGTTTAGGAGATCTCAAATCAGAAGGAGAGCCAAAAATCAAGTTTAGGGGAAAGAAAAGGAATGTAGCAGCAATGATTTCAATTGATAAAATTTCAAGAGTAATACATATAGGTAGATATAAAGCTAGGTCTAGATATGTTTGAAACTTCACCCTTTGATGTATGTTGATGGTTACATAGACATGAAGAAGTTTTAAAGTGTTTGATAAATATTCATGAGCAATCTATTAAGTTAAACTCCATTTGTGAAAAAGAAGAAATACTATCACTAGTAATTTAAAATATGACAACTTTGACTTTTTAGACTCGAGTCCAAGTATGGTTAAAACGGATGAGGTAAAGACTCAACATATTTAGATGAATAATTGTGCATTGTAGAAAGTTTATAACTAGAAGTTTAAAAGTAAACACTTAGTTTTGCAATGTTGTAAGTTTTAGAAACACAGATTATAAAATTTATTTGAAATAAAATAAAAAAAACAAATGAGGTGTGTTGGAAATTTATGAATTAGAGATATCTTAGAAACATGTGTGAAGTAGAAGGTTGCAGAAATATCATATTGGATTTCAAGAAAACAAATTTAAGTAAAGTACAATGCTCAAATGAGAAAGTGGTCAAAAAATCCAAAAGAAAAGTGGTTTGAAAGATCTGGTGAAGCTTTTACACGTAATATGAACTTCAATGTTATATGTTTAAGTTTTATAGCATAGATTTTAAACACTCTTATAAAAGAAAATGTTTCTAAGTTTTTCGAAAACGTGCCAAAATGGTAAGCAAGGTTTAAAATGGTTTATAGGCCTTTAAAAATCACATTTATCCATTGAAATGGATTTGAAATGAAATTGAAATCTCAAGTTTAAAACCAATATTGTTTAAATTGAGTTTTGAAGAAAAGTGTTAAGTTAAAGCAAGTTGTCAAAAGTAAATTTGGTTGTTTTTAGCGAGACATATGGCTTACATTGTTAGGAAATGTCTAGTAAGTTGTATAATTTGGTTATAAAGTATTTTATTTATGATAAATAAATGCGATGAAGTGAAATAACCTTTCGATGGAAGATTAAGAAGTAAGGAATAAGTAGATCAGTGTAACTAGTCGTACCCAATATTAACGCGAGTATAAGGCGAGTACCGGTGGCTTTTCCTCAATATAAAGGATTTGAAAAATTGTTTGTAAAACATTTTATGTTGTGAATGCAGTTTCGCGCCTTTTATATAGGTAAAAATTGAAGTTATAGGTTTAGCGTGTGGCGTAAGAGATGAAATCCTTTATAACTATAGGACTGTTAGTAATGCCGATAAGGACTAAAACAAAGGTATGAAAACGATAAGTATTGAAGGAAAATTCAAAATTAGAGGAAGGATTCAAACAACGAAGTAGTAGGATGTTTATCCGGGCATGAAAATTTAAGCTTACAGGTTGGGCATGAAACATTGTTAGGTATTAGATGTTGCGCCATTGGGATTTTTGTTTAGTTTATTATGTTAACAGTTTGGGCCAGTCCTCCCGTATTTAATTCCAAGCTTATAGTATTTAAGGTGCATGCATGCATCATATATTTGTTAACTCTGATAATTATTCTGTAACCCTAATCATGCCTCTATGGTAGCAATTCTTTATCGAGTTCTTCTGAGGCGTGACACTTAATCATTCAGTATTATTTGGATCATCGTTGTGTTCTGGCTTTTACTTGTTTTAAATCAAAACGATCATTAACGATTTTCATCCTAAA